GGGGGGGGTAAACTTGTCCTGGCGCGACACGGACGGAGACCTGGCAGCGCAGGTGACTATGTGGCTGCGCGTCGTGCGCAGAGTCGGGACAAACTTGACCAGCCAGCTACTTGAAGCACCAGAGTAGCCCGAGCGAGACCTCTGAATCAGTGATGCTGTCCCCCCAAAAAAATCTTAAACTGACACACACACACACACACACACACACACACACACACGGGCGCGCACGCACACGCACTCTACCGTCTTACCTGGGAGACGAGGAAAGCCAAGAGGATGCGGACTCCAATCTCCATGGTCGGTATAGAATTTCTCGCGGTGTGACACAGATTTTCAAGACAGGGTGATGATGTAGGCTGGGTCAGCTCTGCTCATAATTCCACTGTCCAAGCGCCGGGGAGAGAGGAAAGCCTTTCGCCGTGTGCCGCCAGCTGCCAACTTCCCCCAAACACAACTGCAGTCGGATCGGTAAGGCAGTGGAAAGTGGAGCCGAGACCACAACCAATAGATTTATGAGGAGGACAGAGAGGGGTGGGGGGGGGGGGGGGGGGGGGGGGGAGGGGGGGGGGGGGGGAGGTAAAGCGTTGGGAGAGGGGAGTGGTGGTGGGAGTGAGGAGTGTCTCTGTGTGTGCGTGTGTGTGTGTGTGTGTGGACGGGGGTGTGTCTCCATCCAAGCAGAGGGTCACTTAGCATCATGAATGTTTCTTTTTTTGTTGTGGCCAAATTCAGACACCCCAGTTCTTTTTTGCGGAGTTCTGAATGATCGAGGTGCAGCAGCAGGTTTTGTGGATTCTTCATCAACATCATGCGTATCCCCCCCTTATCAGACAGCTTTACAGCCCTTATTCCAGCATGTTATCCGTCCCCTTTTACAGGATTTACGGCTCCTATCGTCTTATATTGAATGCAAGAGCGCAGGAGGCTCGGGGAAGCCTCTGTCAAATGCATCCTGCGTGTGAGCGCTCAATAGCGGCGATGCCTGCGGGGCAGCCTGAGAGAAATAAACTTCAGTAATGATCCGTTTTAGGGTTGTGTACTGTACACATTGCAATATAATTACTGTATACGCTTACATAATGGCTCTAAAGGATACATTGCTCTTTAGTGTTGACAAGACCATGGGTTTCAATCTTCAGAGTAATTCCTGAATTTAATATTCTCATTTTCATTATTATGAACAATGCTTTTCCCTCCTCCCAGCTCTATAATAAATGGTTAATTTGTGTGGGGAATTTTATTTTTATTTTCAGTCGGTGTGCCTGCCATTTCTCTCTCTCTCTCTCTCTCTCTCTCTCTCTCTCTCTCTCTCTCTCT